ACGTGTGAGGGTGTGCTACCAACCAGGACGTGTGAGGGTGTGCTACCAGACCTGGACGTGTGAGGGTGTGCTACCAGCCCTGGACGTGTGAGGGTGTGCTACCAGCCCTGGCGTGTGAGGGTGTGCTACCAGACCTGGACGTGTGAGGGTGTGCTACCAGACCTGGACGTGTGAGGGTGCTACCAGACCTGGACGTGGGGAGGGTGTGCTACCAGACCTGGACGTGTGAGGTGTGCTACCAGACCTGCCCTGTGAGGGTGTGCTACCAGACCTGGATGTGTGAGGGCGTGCTACCAGACCTGGACGTGTAGGGTGTGCTACCAGACCTGGACGTGTGAGGTTGGGTGCTACCAGACCGGGACGTGTGAGAGTGTGCTACCAGAGCTGGATGTGTGAGGGGGGTGCTACCAGACCGGGGACGTGTGAGGGTGTGCTACCAGACCTGGATGTGTGAGGGTGTGTACCAAAACCTGGATGTGTGAGGGCATGCTACCAGACCTGGACGTGTGAGGGTGTGCTACCAGACCTGGACGTGTGAGGGTGTGCTACCAGACCTGGACGTGTGAGAGTGTCTACCAGAGCGGGAAATGTTTTGAGGGTGTGCTACCAGACCTGGACGTGTGAGGGTGTGCTACCAGACCTGGACGTGTGAGGGTGTGCTACCAGACCTGGATGTGTGAGGGTGTGCTACCAGACCTGGACGTGTGAGGGTGTGCTACCAGACCTGGATGTGAGGGTGTACTACCAGACCTGGACGTGTGAGGCCGTGCTACCAGACCTGGACGTGTGAGGGTGTGCTACCAGACCTGGACGTGTGAGGGCATGCTACCAGACCTAGACGTGTGAGGGCGTGCTACCAGACCTGGACGTGTGAGGGCGTGCTACCAGACCTGGATGTGTGAGGGTGTACTACCATGTGGAGAAATTTTCTCCAGGAGGGGGGTATCAGCCCCCTTCAGCCCTTTCAGCCCCTTTCAGCCCTGAGGGGCCAAGCCCTCTCAGAAGGGGCGAGCGTCTTGTTTACTGCTAGAGTGAGTAATTGATCACAGATGCTATGCCACGTAGTCAAGTGACCTCTGCTCCTTGCAGCGGTGTTGCAAAGTGTATTTTTATAAGAGACAGTACATTCTTACTTTAGCAGGACAATTAAGGAAAATCCTGCTCCCACTTTATTACCATAGTAAAGATAGTGTACATTGTTGTCTATGCTGAAGACACAAGAAACAAACTTCTGCTTTGCTTCATCGAGGGGGGTGACAAGGATGAAAGGGTACTAGGTCAGAAATTTTTTTTTGTGTATTAGGGAGCAACGGTTTGGGGGGCGGTGTGGCGTCGGAGACCACCTTTGACTAGTGAAAAGTGACACTGACGCCAGGATAACCACAAAGAACACTGATCTGTGCGTTAGTGTGAACAAAGTGTCTCATAAACCACAATAAACATTTAAAGAGAAGTGTGATCAGCTTCTCCAGTGATAACTTTGTGTGAACAATTATTGATGAACAGTGTAACAACAAAGTGTTGCGATCCAACAGAGTGTAGTGCGACATTTCTTCAAAGAACACTATTCTTCAATCAACCAACGGATATCCGGGCATAATTACGGGTCAAATACATATACCCAGGTAAGTGTTCTAACTCGTGATGTACTACTATTGACTGCGCAGTTGAGTATAAATTCGTGAGTTAGAAACTTATCATAAACCCCGGTGATATGCGGATCATTGAGTCCAAACAAATAAGTATATCGTCAGCCATCATCGAATGAAATATGCTGACATAACACCCCCTAGGGGTAATTTATATACTTACAAATTATATTTTTTTGACAGCCCATGTTGAGATGGTTTCGACAGCTTCTAGACCTCGTCTGCAGGGGCGGCTATGTAGACGATTTGCTGTCCTTTATCAGCTAAGTGTTCATATTCAAATTTATAAATTATATCTTAGCTGGTAAGGCCAATATCTTCAACATACCAGACCTGGACGTGTGAGGGTGTGCTACCAGACCTGGACGTGTGAGGGTGTGCTACCAGACCTGGACGTGTGAGGGTGTGCTACCAGACCTAGACGTGTGAGGGTGTGCTACCAGACCTGGACGTGTGAGGCCGTGCTACCAGACCTGGACGTGTGAGGCCGTGCTACCAGACCTGGACGTGTGAGGCCGTGCTACCAGACCTGGATGTGTGAGGCCGTGCTACCAGACCGGACGTGTGAGGCCGTCTACCAGACCTGGACGTGTTGAGGCCGTGCTACCAGACCTGGACGTGTGAGGCCGTGCTACCAGACCTGGACGTGTGAGGCCGTGCTACCAGACCTGGACGTGTGAGGCCGTGCTACCAGACCTGGACGTGTGAGGCCGTGCTACCAGACCTGGACGTGTGAGGCCGTGCTAACCGACATGGACGTGTGAGGCCTTTGCTACCAACCTGGACGTGTGGGGCCCGTGCTACCAGACCTGGACGTGTGAGGCCGTGTTTACCAGACCGGGACGTGTGAGGCCGTGCTACCAGACCTGGACGTGTGAGGCCGTGCTACCAGACCTGGACGTGTGAGGCCGTGCTACCAGACCTGGACGTGTGAGGCCGTGCTACCAGACCTGGACGTGTGAGGCCGTGCTACCGACCTGGACGTGGTAGGCCGTGCTAAAAGACCTGGACGTTGAGCCGTTCAACCAGACCTAAAACGTGTGAGGCCGTGCTACCAGACCTGGACGTGTGAGGCCGTGCTACCAGACCTGGATGTGTGAGGGTGTGCTACCAGTACCATGACTCAACCCAGGCTACAGATAAAGTTCAGTTGCCCACTAATAATAATGTTAATATTATTGGACGCTTTCGTTAAAGGATTCCGTGGGTGTGTGGTCGCTAGGAACGGTGTTACTGTAAGGTTTTTAACTGGTATATTTAATTAAGGATGAATTAACAGTTACTGTTGAATAATGTGAGTGTTGTTGTGTGAAGCAGTGAGGTCTGGCAGTGAGGTCTGGCAGTGTTGTCATCACCTATAATCTCTTAACTGTTATTATTGAGCTTATAAGAACAGATACATTATGTATGACTGTAAATCATACATGTATGTATGTATGTTTGAGTATGGGAACATGTGAGGTGACTAGGCAGGTGTTAATAACATGGTTGAAGAAATAATATATGTGATGTATGTGGTATGTTGGAGTGTTAAGTAGACGCGTCCACTACCTGTGTTGGTGCACCAGTCAGGCTCCAGCTCCACCACCACCAGTCCGCTACCTGTGTTGGTGCACCAGTCAGGCTCCAGCTCCACCACCACCAGTCCGCAACCTGTGTTGGTGCACCAGTCAGGCTCCAGCCCCAAACCACCACCAGTCCCTACCTGTGTTGGTGCACCAGTCAGGCTCCAGCTCCACCACCACTAGTTCGCTACCTGTGTTGGTGCACCAGTCAGGCTCCAGCTCCACCACCACTAGTTCGCTACCTGTGTTGGTGCACCAGTCAGGCTCCAGCCCCACCACCACCAGTCCGCTACCTGTGTTGGTGAAACCAAATCAGGACCAGCTCCACCACCACTAGTTCGCTACCTGGTTGGTGCCCAAGTCGGGGCTCCAGCTCCACCACCACTAGTTCGCTACCTGTGTTGGTGCACCAGTCAGGCTCCAGCTCCACCACCACCAGTCCGCTACCTGTGTTGGTGCACCAGTCAGGCTCCAGCTCCACCACCACTAGTTCGCTACCTGTGTTGGTGCACCAGTCAGGCTCCAGCTCCGCCACCACCACCACCACCAGTCTACTATTACCACTATATACGACAGTATTTGTTAACAATGTGCCTCACATAGTGTGTATCTGTCAACACATAAGGTCAGTATATAAGTGTCAACACATAAGGTCAGTATGTAGGTGTCAACACATAAGGTCAGTATGTAGGTGTCAACACAAAAGGTCAGTATGTAGGTGTCAACACAAAAGGTCAGTATGTAGGTGTCAACACATAAGGGCAGTATATAGGTGTCAACACATAAGGGCAGTATATAGGTGTCAACACATAAAGTCAGTATATAGGTGTCAACACATAAGGTCAGTATGTAGGTGTCAACACATAAGGGCAGTATATAGGTGTCAACACATAAGGTCAGTATATAGGTGTCAACACATAAGGGCAGTATATAGGTGTCAACACATAAGGTCAGTATATAGGTGTCAACACATAAGGTCAATATATAGGTGTCAACACATAAGGTGTCAACACATAAGGTCAGTATATAGGTGTCAACACATAAGGTCAGTATATAGGTGTCAACACATAAGGTCAGTATGTAGGTGTCAACACATAAGGTCAGTATATAGGTGTCAACACATAAGGTCAGTATATAGGTGTCAACACATAAGGTCAGTATATAGGTGTCAACACGTAAGGGCAGTATATAGGTGTCAACACATAAGGGCAGTATATAGGTGTCAACACAAGGTGTCAACACATAAGGTCAGTATATAGGTGTCAACACCAGGCCCGGTGGCCTGGTGGCTAAAGCTCCCGCTTCACACACGGAGGGCCCGGGTTCGATTCCCGGCGGGTGGAAACATTTCGACACGTTTCCTTACACCTGTTGTCCTGTTCACCTAGCAGCAAATAGGTACCTGGGTGTTAGTCGACTGGTGTGGGTCGCATCCTGGGGGACAAGATTAAGGACCCCAATGGAAATAAGTTAGACAGTCCTCGATGACGCACTGACTTTCTTGGGTTATCCTGGGTGGCTAACCCTCCGGGGTTAAAAATCCGAACGAAATCTTATCTTATCTTATCTTATCTTATAGGTGTCAACACATAAGGTCAGTATATAGGTGTCAACACATAAGGTCAGTACATAGGTGTCAACGTAGATCAGTGGTGTCACAATAGTGTGTAAGTTAGGTCATAATAACTACACATATGTCTACCTCCGCCTCACTAAACTTAATAAACATTTCCTCTTGTTTATCACAATTTTTAACACAGGATGTTCTGATAATTGTTATTTCCAGACTCAAACATCCTTGTTATTGATGTTATTTATGTTATTGCCATTGATGTTATTATTGATGTTATTGCCATTGATGTTATTCTGCAGTAATGGTGATAATTATTGTGTGAAAATTGTTGTTAAACCTGTCACTGTTGCCGTGGTAACAGTGTTTATAATAGCCACCGTGTTAATAATGTTATAACCACCGTGTTAATAATATAGCCACCATGTTAATAATGTTATAGCCACCGTGTTAATAATGCTATAACCACTGTGTTAATAATGCTATAACCACCGTGTTAATAATGTTATAACCACTGTTATTAGTGTTATAACTACCATGTTAATAATGTTATAACCACTGTGTTAATAGGTATAACCACCGTGATAATAGTGTTATAATCACCGTGTTAATGTTATAACCACCGTGTTAATAATGTTATAACCACCATATTAATAGTGTTATAACCACAGTGTTAGTAGTGTTATAACCACTGTGATAATAGTGTTATAATCACCGTGTTAATGTTATAACCACCGTGTTAATAATGTTATAACCACCGTATTAATAGTGTTATAACCACAGTGTTAGTAGTGTTATAACCACTGTGATAATAGTGTTATAATCACCGTGTTAATAATGTTATAACCACCGTATTAATAGTGTTATAACCACAGTGTTAGTAGTGTTATAACCACCGTGTTAAGTGTTATAACCACCGCATTAATAGGATTATAACCACCATGTTAATAGTGTTAATACCACCGTGTTATTGTTATGACCTGGAGTTTACCTGAAGTTTACCACTGTGTTAATAATGTTATAACCACCGTGTTAATAATGTTATAACCACCGTATTAATAGTGTTATAACCACAGTGTTAGTAGTGTTATAACCACCGTGATAATAGTGTTATAATCACCGTGTTAATGTTATAACCACCGTGTTAATAATGTTATAACCACCGTATTAATAGTGTTATAACCACAGTGTTAGTAGTGTTATAACCACCGTGTTAATAGTGTTATAACCACCGCATTAATAGGATTATAACCACCATGTTAATAGTGTTAATACCACCGTGTTATTGTTATGACCTGGAGTTTACCTGAAGTTTACCACTGTGTTAATAATGTTATAAGATAAGATTTCGTTTGGATTTTTAACTGCGGAGGGTTAGCCACCCAGGATAACCCAAGAAAGTCAGTGCGTCATCGAGGACTGTCTAACTTATTTCCATTGGGGTCCTTAATCTTGCCCCCCAGGATGCGACCCACACCAGTCGACTAACACCCAGGTACCTATTTGCTGCTAGGTGAAAAGGACAACAGGTGTAAGGAAACACGTCGTAATGTTTCCAGCCGCCTGGAATTGAACCCGGGCCCTCCGTGTGTGAAGCGGGAGCTTTAGCCACCAGGCCATCGGGCCCTTATAACCACCGTGTTAATAATGTTATAACCACTGTGTTAATACTGTTATATTCACTGTGTTAATAGTGTTATAACCACTGTGTTATTAATAGTGTTATAAGTACCTTGTTAATAGTGTTATAACCACCATGTTAATAGTGTTATAACTACCTTGTTAATAGTGTTATAACCACCATGTTAACCCCTTGATTGTCACAACCCCAAATGCTGAGGGGTCTCCCGGTGTCGTAAAATTTCCCCCCCCCCCCAAAAATATTTTTTATTATGAAATGATAAAGAATCTCTTCCCGATTGTAATAACACCAAAAGAACGAAATTTGATGGAAACCTGAGGGAATTATGCTCGCGAAATTAGCGACCTTGGCAATATTTACGAATCTGTGATTTTGCCCATTTTGAGCCCTATTTTCGGCTAATTCCATTGTTCCAGTCAACCAAACTCATAACTATTTCTATCGATTGAGTACAAGAAACTGCACATTTACTGATTTCAACTATTCAATAGTTTGCAATTTGGCCAATTTCACGAAAATTAAAAAATATGACAGTTTCAAAATAAGGTTCAAAATGAACAATGCAGACATTCCTGGCTCTAAAATGACATTTTCTTTGTTCATCAGTCATGTCTCCAGGCCCCTCTGATATTACTCTTGCTTTCTATTTTGAATTTTTATTCAAACAAAAACAAGATTTACTGTTATGCAGACTACTGCAATATTGTAATAATTGTATAAATAATGTCAACCCATTCATGAGTGCATATTAGAATGGCTACTTGGACATTTATTGGAAAATGACATCATTTGTTTACTTTTGAACATCAGCAAAAAGCAAACATTTCCCCTACTTTGAGCTCCATTTCAAGGTTCTTTTCATAGTAAAACCAATCAGCATCACCTCTGCTTCTATAATATGTTTTCCATTCTATCAAATGAGACCAAGAAAACGAGAATACAACCATAAATACTATACGAAAATAGACCACAAAATCAGCATTTTAATAAAAAAAAAAACGGTCGGAGTTTTTTTTGTTCTCATTATGCACTGCGTGCTGCAGGATTTTTTTTATATGGCGCACACTGACCATACAGACCCATTGTCTCACATGTGGGCCTACCAGCTTTCTCCTGCTTGATTTGAAGCCACTAGAATTTATATACGTCAAACACGGTGGCTCGTGAGACGTATATATACGACTGAGACAGTCAAAGGGTTAATAGTGTTATACCCACCATGTTAATAGTGCTATAACCACCATGTTAATAGTGTTATAACTACCTTGTTAATAGTGTTATAACCACCATGTTAATAGTGTTATAACCACCATGTTAGTAGTGATATAACCACAATGTTAACAGTGTTATTTATAACCACAGTTTTAACAGTGTGGTTATTATACTATTATGTAGTATAATAACCACTATGGCAGTAATAACTACAGTAATAGTCACTGGTCAGGGAGGATACGTACTTAACTAACACGTCTAGCTCATGTACTGACTTGCTGTATATAAATATTTTTTTTTGTCTATGTTGATAATAGTTCTGTGGTAAATGTGTATGTTAAGAAGAGTTATTTGTATACTGTGATGAGAACTTTATCACAGTGGAACTAAGGCACTCGCACTTTTTTTTGGATTATCCTTGTAGGTAATTTACTCGCATCTTACTATGTATGAATGTATGATAATTCTACTTATGTGGACCTGTACCTAAATAAACTTTACTTTACTTGCTTGTTCACCTAGCAGTAAGTAGGTACCTGGGTGTTAGTCAACTGGTGTGGTGCCATGAAAAGACTTGTTCAGATTTTTAACCTGTGGTAGAGAGGGTTAAGATAAGATTTTGTCTCTTAACTCGATCACTAGCTCAGTCGGCTAACACACTGAGGTCCATGGTTCAATTCCCAGTACAGGTGGAAACATCAGGATATGTTTCCTTAAGACACCTGCTGTCACTGTTCACCTATTAGTAAAATAAGTACTTGGGTTTTAGTGGACTGGTGTGGGTTGCATCCTGGGAACAAAATTAACCAAATTTGGCTGAAATGCTCTGCATAACAAGGGGCTTTCTATATAGTAGTATGTCATTGATGTCAGCTGTGGTCTATATACCTTGTACATGTACTTGTGTTATCCTGGGTTAGTCACCCAGGATAATCCAAGAAAGTCCTCGATGATGCACTGACTATTTGTCTTATTTCCATTGTCGTCCATCAGCCTTGTCCCCCCAGGATGTGATGCACACCAGTCCACTAATGCCCAAGTACCTACTTACTGCTAGGTGTAAGTAAACATGTCCAACATTTCCACCCATGCCAGAGACTGAACCCCAGACACTCAGTGTGTGAGGTGAGAGCATTGCCAACCAAACCGAGGGACACCTTGATGTTGGTCAGGACTCTTGATCCAAGGAACTGGACTTACCAACTCCTTCCTTGGATCAAACTAATGCTTCCCAATTCCCAGGTGCTATATGACCCATAAGAGTTTAACATTTTCCCTTATTAAAATGAACAAACTTATTAGTTTGTCTCATGAAAATAGATTTTTTTTTTTGCCCAATAAGACTAGTTTTATTCAGGAAATTATTTATAATTTTATACAGCACAGTATTGTCAGTTTATACAATACTGTAGTTGTAGGGGCATAATTATTACAGTAATAGAGGCATTCATTGCTGTTAAATTATGCAGGTTTTACCTACAATAACAAATCATTCACTGTGGCTTATTTATTATTAATATGTATTATTAATAATAAATAAGAGAATTGAATGAAACAGAATGACTTCAAGAGTGTATCAGTCTGTAGTGGAAGGAAGGCGGGGTAGAGGTCGGCCTAGGAAAGGTTGGAGGGAGGGGGTAAAGGAGGTTTTGTGTGTGAGGGGCTTGGACTTCCAGCAGGCATGCGTGAGCGTGTTTGATAGGAGTGAATGGAGACAAATGGTTTTTAATACTTGACGTGCTGTTGGAGTGTGAGCAAAGTAACATTTATGAAGGGGTTCAGGGAAACCGGCAGGCCGGACTTGAGTTCCTGGAGATGGGGAAATACAGTGCCCCGCACTCTGAAGGAGGGGTGTTAATGTTGCAGTTTAAAAACTGTAGTGTAAAGCACCCTTCTGGCAAGACAGTGATGGAGTGAATGATGGTGAAAGTTTTTCTTTTTCGGGCCACCCTGCCTTAGTGGGAATCGGCCAGTGGATAATAATAAAAAATAAAATATCTTTTTATTTGTACATGTACAAAATAACAAAGGTATACAGGCCTAGCTGACATCAGTGACATACTAACTGTATAGAAAGGCACTTTTTATGCTGAGTATTTCAAGAAAATTAGGTCAGTGTCCCAGGATAACACCCACACTAGTCGTCTAACACCCAGGTACCCATTTACTGATGGGTAAACATAGACAACAGGTGTAAAGAAACACGCCTAACGTTTCTACCCTGGCTGGGAATCGAATATTTACCAAAAATCATATATGGCTAACCCAAGCCAGGTACTAAAAATAAGCCATGTTGACTTTTTTTGGGTTATCCTAGGGTTTTCCCAAACAATGCTGCTATGTGTGATAATCTATAGAGAGAAAATAACTTTTTTGTTTCATGTTTATGGCAGAGTATGATGTATATCATAGTTAGCCCTGTGCTATACTCCATTTTCTCTAATATA